CTGGGGACGATTTGTTCGCGAAATGGCTTTTGGGTTATAGAGAAATCTACCGTGTCCGCTGACCCGCTGACACCGCCATCTTGTGAGATCCTGTGACAGTTTCAAAGTTTTGTGAGCGGTGAATTGTACTTTTTTCGAATCCAAAATGGGGAATAAAGGCATGGAAGACCTTATCCCCGTTATGAACAAAATTCAAGATGCATTCTCTCATATTGGGCAGCCATCAAGCATAGATCTGCCTCAGATCGCCGTGGTTGGAAGTCAAAGCGCCGGAAAGAGTAGTGTTTTGGAAAACTTTGTGGGAAGGTAAGGAAGTGATCACGATTGTGGCTTTTTGGTTTCTCTTGAATTAAAAATTATTAACATATCTTTGTAGAGATTTTCTGCCGAGAGGATCGGGAATCGTAACCAGGAGACCACTTATACTCCAGCTTCATCCAGCCAAGTCAGGTTTGTACAATTACGTTGCATGACGAATAGAAATCTAATAGGCTTAAGCTTTATTAAAATTGATCTTGTTTATTGTTTTCAGCTGTTTCAATATATATTCCTGTAAAAGGCCCATATTATAGGTACTTTGATTTAATGTCAAAAATATGAACTCCTAAACTGAAATACACATATAATATATAACTGAAACTTAACTTGAAGATCTTAAAGTGTTTTCATATAAATTTTCTTGAATATGCTAATTAACTTTATCATCCAGATTACGTGACATTCTTAAAATAGAGGTGACCATTAGCCCAGCCAGTTGAACATAATTATCACAGTACATCATGTAGACTGAAATGTAAACAAAAGCATTAAAAAATATTAATGCACGTTTCAGTGAGTGAAGAAAACATGAAGAACAGAAAATCATCCCTTTGTTCAGGGTTAGTTCATTTTATATCCCTGTCCCAAAGGGAGTGGCTCCATCAGCATAGGCATACAGGCCAGTTTTGGAAATTGTGAAAATTTTCAGGCAAAGCGCTCATGATTCGGGCAACAGCACTTGGGAGAAAACATTCCAAAATAATGGTGTTAGTATGATTTCCAAAACTTGTGAATAAAGTTTCTAGAACTTTTATCGGTTATTTTTTTATGAATCCCTGAGTGTTTCTTCAAGGAGTTGGTACATGTACATTAGGTAGTATCATGTGAATTGTATCATTTTAGTATATCTACTGCTGATCTTAAGTATTGTTGGTTCACCAAAGATGCCACTGCAGTCTGTAGATCGTTGATTGCATTGCAACGCAGCACAACGCAACACAACAGGGTCCCGGTTCAGTGTCACCTGCTTTTAAGTAACCAGTTCTAGTTTAGAAACCAACACTTCCTGAGCTTTTGACGTTTTCCATTGCTTTTAAACTTTCCAAACATTCTGCGTCTCTCAAAAGATCGTCATATTTTTTTGCTCTCATTCATTGTGTCTTGGAACATTAACCTCTAGGAGAACAGGCCATGAGATACAATGTACAATGTACAGTAGGTTATTCTATTTGGTAACACTACAAGAATATTAATAGCTTTTGGTAAAGGAATGTTGCTTGTAAACAATATCAATATTGTTTGATAAGAAATTATTTTTCATCTTTGCTAATCTTATTAATAGAACAACAGTTCATTTATGATTCAATTTTTTTTTTGTCATTTATCATTCTTATAGCCTTACTCTAGACTTATTTTTAAGGGGAGAAATAATGACTCATTTATTGTTTTCTAACAGGGGAGTTGAAGGTTTATTGTGGGATTGGCCCAATGGGTTAGCCCGTAGCTCAAACCCCTTCTTTGTGTGGTTTACAGTCATTGAGTTAGCCAGGTACTTACACATAGATATGGAAATTTTTCTAGAGTGGGCAGAGTTTCTTCACTGCAAGGGAAAAAAATTTGTTGATTTTGAAGAAGTAAGGAAAGAGATTGTTGCAGAGACTGACAGAGAAACTGGCAGCAATAAAGGAATCTCAGCTATTCCAATTAACTTGCGCGTGTTTTCTCCTCATGGTGAGTGTAAAGTACTGTGACGACTGATTTTCAGACAGTACAACTTTGTCTTGTGTGATGAGCTCATCCCTGTTTCAGTATTATTAAGTTAGGTGACTGGGAGTATTTCAATTCCCCCTTGAATGTGACGTCAGTTCATCAGAGCACTAATTTTGCCGGTGCCCTTTTCAATATGTCTGGGTGGAGAGAGTAACTGTTAGAGTAAAGTGCGTTGCTTAAAATGTAAAAATTAACTTAAAACAATGACCCAGGTAAGGTGTTGAACCCAGGCTGCTGCACTCTTGAGTACAGCTGGCACACTTACAATAAGCCCACATCCTAGTACCAGCTGCTTTGCATGCACAGTGTAGGTGCACAGTAAATTTTCAGAAGCATATCACCTCAAAGAGGTGATATGCTTCTGATATTATACAGTGTGTACTAATATTACATCTTTTCTATTTTTTTTGTTTTTTTTGCAGTTCTGAATTTGACATTGGTAGATCTTCCTGGCATGACGAAAGTTCCTGTTGGTGACCAACCTCCTGATATTGAAATCCTGATACGGAGTATGTTGTTACAGTTCATTACCAAGCCAAACTGTTTAGTGCTGGCAGTGTCACCTGCAAACTCGGATCTTGCCAACTCTGATGCACTGAAGATTGCTAAGGAGGTTGATCCTGAGGGTAAGAGTACTGTATTTAGTTTTGAAAGTGTAGTTACTTAAGCTGGCAAATGCAAGGATAACTTTTCCAAATCAAGTTACAAGGAAGTTTTATGTGTACAGCTAGCCAATGCCTCCTATACAATGTAATTGTCTCTACATGTACATTTTGTACCTGTAAGGCATGAGAAAAACTTTGAACTCATTTTGCCCAGAGCGCCAAGGTATATTATTTGGATTTTAAATTAATCCACGTTTTCAACTCAAAGTTGTTAATTTCTGACTGGAAATTATCATTTATCAAGCTAATATTTTCACTCAGACTTGCAAGACTACTGACAGAGACTACTTTCATTTGGCCATCGGGCCATCGAACTTCCATTTTCACTTACCTAAGAATAAATGTTACTTGATCTGGGCAATCGGATGTGGGCTTTTTCCTGCCCTGGCATGCATTGAGCCTACATCTGATTCCCAAAGCGATAATTCTTATTACTTTTTTTATTTTTATTAGGAGTACGAACAATTGGAGTGATAACAAAATTAGATCTTATGGATGAAGGAACAGATGCTAGAGAGATCCTAGAGAACAGAGTCCTTCCCTTGAGAAGAGGTACAGTAAGGGTGACAGTGATCAATGTTTCATAGGGTTATCAAAGATAGGCAGTGGCTGCTGGCAAAAATCACCATCTACACTGTACATGTACATGTACTTCATGATCATGGCCACTGACCTACTCTCCTGGGCTGTTCATCTTGTTCTTCAAAAAGATAAGAAAATCAGCCCCCTACTCTAACAGTAAAGCTGCCTACTATGGTAGGCAGCTGAATGGTACTGTTATTATTATTGTTTAGGCAACCTGATTAAAACATTATTACACTTTGGTGTCATAAGTCATTGGAACACCTGGCTTCTTTACCTTTTCCAGATGCACACTCTTTATCCAGAGTATTCTATTTTATACACAGCATTAAATACATCATTATGTAGATTACAGAGACACTCAACTTGTTCTATTTGAAATCTCTAAATTGCATTAATATTGTTTCCTCAGCATTGTTTATGCACTGATAGAACCCAGAAAGAAAATTAGAGATAGAAGATTATTGCTGAGTAATTGGCCTAAAATTTATTGTGGGTTTTTAACTGTTATATGATAAATGTTCCTACATGTACATGCAGTTTCTTCTGAAACAATGTGTCTCCTGAGAATTTGTTCATCTAAAAACGCATCTGTGTTGAAAAACGTTTCTTTAGTTTGTAGTCATTTTGTGGTCATGGTACATTTAAGATATCTTCGATTTTAAAATGATTTAAATGTTTCTTTGACAAATTAGTTTCTAGACTTGTTACATGTATAAATGTTTTATTGTCTTTGTACTAAAGGTTACATAGGTGTGGTAAATAGAAGCCAAGCTGACATCGATGGAAGAAAGGATATCAAGTCAGCCCTGGCCTCTGAACGGAAATTCTTCCTTAGCCATCCTGGTTATAGGTGAGTATACTTAACAGAACACGCAAACAACATGTATGGTTGCATAGATTACTTTCATGTGAAAATTATAACCAAGAAGCACCAATAAGAGATGCCGGCTAAGTAGAATTACTATAGCACTGTCTAGTAATTGAGTATATGACCGTCATGGAGATTTTAGGCTCAAATGTTAGAAATCTCCCATATTGGAAGATACATGTATAAGTATATGAATTTGATGAGCATGTCTCCAAGTCAAATTCAGCTCTCTCAGCATGATGGCATAATAGTAATTATTGCTAATGTTTTCCAATTAAGTCAAACGTGTCATGAGGGTTTTTTTTTTATTCTGGGAGTGTTGGGATTTTCAAAGACTACCAAAAACCATCATTGACTTCCAGTGATTTCCATAGATTTCCAAAGATTCTCTAGTGCCTATTTCCAGGATTTGTTATTTTTCATCTAACACAACCACGTTGCCAGTGTTTGATTTTTTTCTTCTAAAATTGGGGAATTTGGAGGAAGTACTGCCATTTTTCATAGACTGTTACATTTTGGTTTTAGATGTTTTTTCTAGAGAGTTTGTCTGATAATGTCTGTAGGTCAATTGTGTTATCTCAATAAATCATTGATTTCTTGATGTTCAATGACAATCATTCCAGACACATGGCAGACAAAATGGGAACTTCATATTTACAAAGGGTTCTTAACCAGGTGAGGCTTGTCTCAATTACTTTGCATTTTTACTTTAGTAAGTAGCAATTTTGGCAAAGATTTGTAATATTTAATGATGATCCATTCTCCAGCAATTGACCAATCATATCAGGGAAACCTTACCAGCCCTTCGAAGTAAATTGGAAGAGAACATCATGGAAATTGAGAAAGAAGTCAAAGGCTTTGAAAACTATAATCCAGATGACCCTTCCATGAAGACTAAAGCCCTTATGCAGTAAGTAATTAGTAAAAAACATCAAAATACATGACTTTAAGTTGAACCTCTGATAACGCCTTAATCGAAAATGGAGGCTGGGTGCCCATGAGCTTAGGGGCTGGTACCCCCAATCTAAACCCAGGTCGTAGTACACCCTAGATAAGCCTGCCCTACCTGCACTGGAGCCATGAGCCCAACCCACCAGCCCCAGCCCCAGCCCCAGCTCCAGATCTAGCAACCATGACACTGAAACTAGAAATTCAGTGGAAAAATTGCAAAATAAACAACATCTAGAACTAACAAAGATATAGAAAACTAAAGCTCAAGGGGTAGGAGAGAGAGTAAAAAAACACTAAAAATGTGACTCTGAGTACTGCTGAAAGTGTCTATGAAAACCCCTGTAATAAACTTTCATGTAGTTAAGATGAATTAATTTCTGTATCACTCTAACAGGATGATTCAGCAGTTCAATTCAGACTTTGAGAAAGCCATTGAGGGTTCTGGAGATACAATTGACACTAAGGAGCTGTCAGGTGGAGCTAAGATAAACCGGATATTTCATGAGAGATTTCCTTATGAGTTAGTCAAGGTAATGAATGATTTTATACTTTACACTTTTTGAACAAATACTGACGTAGAGTACAGTTGCAAATTGATGAAAAAAGATCAAAGATAATTATTGTGGACAATCAAAGATCAAAGATATTGCGGACAATCCCATGATAAATTCTCCTAAAGCCATATCTACAATCTGAGGTTTTAAGTGGGCTTACTGTCTAAGCCTGTGGTGTTCTATCCAGGGCAGTCAGTGACTACATACATTGCAATTAAGTTTCACTGAAAATAGGCCATTCTACAGTTGTTTGCTTAGTTACATTTACTTGGCCTATGGATGCAAGCTAGCCTGGAGGTGACCTTGCTTTGATACAGACCTCTCTGCTTTTCTCATGTAAATGCCAACTAGTAAGCATAGGAACAACTTGATTTGCACAACAAAAGGAGTGAGGTCTTAATCAAAACAAGGTCACCTGCAGCGTCGCTGCCATTCAAAGGCCAGGTCACTGAACAGACAACTGTATTTAAAATGGTCTATTCTTTGACCAGTCTTTCCAGCCTGACAGCCTGAAATCTCTTTAATAAATCAATCGACTTTTTTTGAACCAATTAATTAAGCTTGTTAAATTGGATGAAGTAGAGTAGTATTTTAATACTACTACTCAATAATTAAAATTATTGTTTGCTAAACCTGTTAGTAATAGTCAGACTAGAGAAGAAAAAACAGTCATTTTGGTGATGTTGCTTGAGAGAAACATTTTATAATTGATATCTTTTCTTGTGAAATCATAGGTGGAATTTGATGAGAAGCAGCTCAGGAAAGAAATTATGTTTGCCATCAAGAACATTCATGGTATCAGGTAAGGGTTAGTTTATAAACCATACAGGCAATTAAATTAATATCTAATATCCTCTAGTCTTGCGTGGTCATACACGTACAAAGTGATATACGGATAAACATTCATAATCAAAAGTATAACAAAATTCTCGAACGTGACTGGGTATCAGCAACCTGATTTGAGCATTAATTGGACAGTGTACACGTCATGCTTG